ATATATATATTAGAACCAGAGTCACCTATTGTTTTCTTAAAAGTGTCTTCAGCTCTTCATCTGCACATCTCCCACGCTCTTCTACTTTGGTTCCACTCTGTGGCCCTGTCATGTTATTCTACATGACGGTCTACTCTCCCTTTTCCCTCACCACCTCCTCCTCCCTGCACCGCCTGAAGCAGGGCCGGACCAAGATTTGCTGACTTCCTCTGTTTTGGGTCAGTTTGATCCAATTCAGCGGTCGTTACAAATCAGCTCTATTTGTCCCACCATCACCTGTCCTGGACACGAGATGTGTCGGCAGCTCCACGTGGTGCCGAGTGTACCGACAGATGGAGCTCAACCCCAGCAGAACCTCGCTCTTTTTTTTTTTCTTGTTCTAATCTAACCTTTGTTTCTGCTGCTAACCTGGCAAGACAGTTGTTCTGGTCTACAGAATCCAATGTGTCGTTTTGACTGATCTGAGTATGTTTAAAATTTATATTACAAAATGCTTGTTGTCTTCAGAGGTAGAGTTTGTATAACCAACCTTTCCTCAGTGGTTTACTGTATCTTACATGAGATTGTGACAGATTTTGTATCTACCAAAACCCACAAATAAACTGCTTTAGAGAAGGTGTTAAGTTTCACACAGTTATTTAATCATTATTTTCCACTTTTTCTAAACAGCATTTAAGCTTTTACCCTGGGTATTAAAAAGACTTAAAACAAAAATTATGAAGTCTAGTTTCAGGTTTGCAGAGGATTGTGTATTTGGGCAGCACACATATGAAAAAAAACACAATCCAGTGTATTTATGTGATTCAAATTCCAATGAAAGTTTTAAATAATTTTATTAGACCAGAACCTGACTTTTGCATGATCGAAAACATAACTCTACTGAAACAATGCTGCTGCTGTAATAATTGTCAAGAAAGATCTGCTTGCTCTCCTGCATGAGTTTACTAAAGTCTCTCCATTTTACTAGTGACTCATTTCTTCTGCAGCATGTAAAACCAGAAACACAGAAGCCTTTGTTGAGGTTGTTTCTAAACTCCCAAGTTTTTTTTTTAAATGGTAACTCCTTCTCTGCTGCTCTGCTTTACACTTCTGCATGACCTTCCTCTCCTGGATGTCACCTGTTGGTCATCTTGTCTTCATTTTCCCTCCCAGTCAGATGAAGACATAGCTCAATATTTGATAGGCTGATAGGATAAATGTGACTTCTTTATGTTTATGCTTTTTTTCTTGAGTTTTTTTTTTTTTGAATGTCGTGTGACTCAGATGTGAACAGTTGATGATTTGCCCGTTTAAAAAAAAACTTCTCTTGCTTTTCTTTGCTAACACCCATAGGGGGCGGCATTCCACACGGTGTGTTGTCGATGATGGGGCCGGGGGGTAACGCGTGCCAACTAACCGAGCACAAGCCACGCTGGACGGACACGCATGAAACTGTCCAGTCTTCCCCTGACACTGTCCAAAAGCACAATAAAGCTCAGGCTGACACTGAGACCGGGGCCAGGGCTGCCGAGCCACACCCCCAGGAGGGTAAAAGCGAGGGGGGCCAGAGAGGTGGCGAGACCTGGGTCCCAGATCTGGCAGAAACGCCCCTCTCAGAGTCTGGCTCAGTTTCTGAACCACTCACCGACCAAATCCTAGCTGCACACTTTGAGCAAATCACTGTTCAGGTTCAGGATCAAATCAATGAAGGCCAAAGGCCATGTAAGTTTTCTGTAGCTGTTTCCGCTAATCAGGAGGGTTCAAAGTCCAGAGGAGAAAAGGCAGGTGAGGACTTTTAGTCGAAGCAGAAATATTTCACAAAATTAACAATAAAAAAATCTTTACAACTATTTAAAACCCCAAGTAGTTTTAAGTGCAAAGATTGGTCATGCTCTATCCACATCATCAATAATCCTTACAAATGGACAGCTCCACTGGTGTTCTGATTGGGGTAAGTACTGTTAAACACCACTTATGTTTTTCTTAACTCAATCCAGTCCTTCTTCTCAGCCTCCTCGACCCAGTGGCCTGCTGTTTGTCACATCAGGACACGTCTCCACCCTGAGTCCCCTGAGCACTTTAACTCACAGAGGTGTTCTTTGATCGGGGGGGCGCTCTGTCTCCCCATCTGCTTGACCCAACCAGCACAAGAATGGAAAATTTGACCTTTCTGGGCATGCGGTTCTTCTAAACTCTTTGACTCTTTGTCCCACTTTTCAGCCTGAAAACAGGACAGCAAATCACTGCCCACAGTCACAGTCTCTTTAATCACTGCGTGTGTGTGTGTGGTTTTTTTTTTACCACAAATTCATTGTAACGTGCTTTAAAAAAYGTACGTTTAAGTAAAAATTAGCATGTAGGTTTTGCTGTGAACACATTGCATATAGCAACATATCTAAAGCAATGATGAAATAATTTCATGGAATAAAGATGATAACTGCATTTGACCAGATGTGGTCAGTTTCCCATTATTTCACTTTCACATGAGCTCAATCTCTCTGCAGAGGCTCTTTGGTGTTAATTTAAGTCCTCTGTCTCAGCCTCGCCCGCTCCACCCCATGGCATCAGTGTTCTGGAGTGTGTGCGTGACTCCATGGTGCTGGCCTGGAAACAGCCGACCTTCATCGGAGGCGCGGACATCACCGGCTACTTCGTCGACTACCGTGAGGTCATGGACGGGGTGCCGGGGAAGTGGCACGAGGCCAACATCAAGGCAGTCAGCGAGAGGGCTTACAGGGTAAGGGGAGCCAAAAAGCACTTTTTTTAAAATTTCCAGTCTGACAGTTTGATGAGCAAAGGTTTAGGTTCTTGCTTTATCACCTGCAGGTGTCTGACCTGAAGGAGAACAAGAAGTACCAGTTCCAGGTGCGAGCGGCCAACATGGCAGGTGTCGGCATCCCATCGCTGCCCAGCGACACCTTCCTGTGTGAGGAGTGGACCATCGCTGTTCCAGGTTGGTCTCTCAAGCTGCAACTTTTTGAAGTCATACACCTACCCACACATTTTTCCCAGCTTTACCTAAACAGTAAAATCTGTTGTCACATGTAGAAGTCCCTAAAAACAAGATGAGGACATATTTCCTCTTTGTGATCACATTATTGTTGCCAAACATCTAAAATATGTTCCAAAAAAAATTCTCTATTTTTCTGTAGGACCCCCTCACGATCTCCAGGTTAGAGATGTGCGAAGTGACTCTGTGGTGTTGCTCTGGAAGCCTCCAGTGTACCAGGGCCGCGATCCGGTCAACGGCTTCTACATCGATATCAAGGAAGCGGAYGCCCCAGAGGAAGCCTGGAGGGGAGTCAACACCAAGGCCACAGATAAAACATACATCAAGGTCATCACCTGGAGTCAGTTTCTCTGAGACATTTCTCTTCACGCTTGACTGCAGCTGCTGTGTCATCAATGTTCCTTTGTTGTTACGGACAGATTAAAGAGCTTAAAGATGGMGAGACGTACGTGTTCAGAGTGCGCGCTCAAAACAAAGCCGGCGTTGGCAAAACCTCAGAYGTTACAGAGCCGGTCCCTGCTGTGACCAAACCAGGTAGGACGATGATGATAAACGTGCTTCAGATGTGAAGCAAGATGTGGATGACAGTATTACAAATCAAACTCTTGTTTGTTTTCAGGCACCAAGGAGATAGTAGTGGATGTCGATGATGATGGTATTGTCTCCCTGAACTTTGAATGTGGTGACTTGACCCCTGACTCCAAATTTGTGTGGGCCAAGAACTATGAGGAAATCATAGACACCAACCGGCTGACAATAGAGACCAAAGGAAACAAGTGGGATAACTAAGTTTTATTTAACTAAAACTAACAACATAGTTATATCTACAATATACAATAGATAGTACAGATAAATTAAGGTGGTTGTATGGCACTGTATGTGTATATAACATTATAAAAATAATAGAGATCTATGACTAATATGACTATTTGAGTCCAAACCCTGCCTTGGTATTTGCTTTAATAGTGCATACATTCTGTGCAGGTCCAAAAGTGTTTTTAAGTCTCTTGGGGAGGAGGACATTGGTATTTATTCATGCCTCGTCACTCACACTGATGGTGCTTCATCCAGCTATACACTCTCTGAGGAAGGTGGGTTTTAAAGTATAAAGTATTAAAAAAAGACCAGCAGCAGTTGATGGTTTTTTAACTATGAGTTTCCTGTCATTTATCAGAGCTGAAGAGGCTGCTGGTGGTCAGCCATGATCACAAATTCCCCAGTAAGTGCTTCACAGCTTATTKATGGGACTAATTAAAAAAATAACTGYCACTTATTTTTAAGACGATTCACARTTTTYCCTCACCCGTCTCCCTTCACCAGTTATTCCCCTAAAGTCAGACCTGGCTGTGGAGCTGCTGGAAAAGGGCAAAGTGCGATTTTGGCTGCAGGCGGAGAAGATTTCGGCAAATGGCAAAGTCGATTATGTGTTCAACGACAATGTTCTCTCTCAGGGGGAGGTCAGTGAGAATCTGAGTTAAAACTTTGTTTTGTTGGTTTTGTAAAACAACTTAAAAGCTTCTTCTTTTACCTTGCTTTTGTTTCACAGAAATACAAAATGAACTTTGATAAGAACACCGGCGTGATTGAGATGCTCATGGAGTCTCTGACCCCGGCAGACGAGGGCACGTACACCTTCCAGATGACGGACGGGAAGGCCACCAACCAGTCCAGCTTGGTGCTGATTGGGGATGGTATGTCCAGTCAAAACAAGGTCTAAAAGTGTAGAAAAACACATGTAAAAAGTATAAAATCATTCCGTTTATCTTATAAGTCCTCTGATCAACCATTATTTGAAACATTCATCATGGCCTCTAAGCCAAACCTTACTGATAGTGTTTTTGCTCACTGACAAAAGTTCATGGAAACTGAATTAATTCAAAAAATAGTAAAGCATTTGAAAATGTTCCCCACCTGCAGAGGCACTGACTTTTTATCAACACTGGAGGGCAGTAAAATGTTTTAGAAATTATTTTACAATTGAAATCAAGAAATGAGATTTACTGACAGACAGTAGCAAAACTTCACAGGATTGTTTTATGTATTTATTGCTTTTCCTCAGAAGGTAAACTATTAAAATACAAACTATTTTGGTTTGCTAAAACCTCACCTGTTTAAACCTAACTGCCGTATCCTCTGGCATTTTGGAACAAATCTATTATTACAACTTTAAAATGCAGTAATTTATGAGAACGTTTATCTTAGAAATAACTCTTCTCATACTGTTTTTTTTCCGCAAACTAGAAATTACTTCACAAAGAAAAACGATCATGTTTGAGCTTCTATTTGATAAGTTGATTCGATTTGTTAGGAGCCAAGGAAATGTCATAAGGTTAGATTGGGATAAATTCATTTCAAATCCCTTTAACCCATTTTTATTCACAGTGTTCAAGCAGCTGCAAAAGGAGTCAGAGTTCCAGAGAAAAGAATGGTTCAGAAAGCAAGGTATGAAACATGATTAACTAAAATATATTTCTTTTTGACTGACTGGTTTATTTTTTAGACACGTCAGCAAAAACAAACAAAAAAAAACAGAGCAGCAGAAATGTGAAGTACTGTATAACTGGGCTAGAACAAGCCGATGTGTTAAAATTCCCTCTTATATTCRACTAAACAGAAAACTGAGCTCTACGTGTGTTTTCCAGGTCCTCACTTTATTGAAGGTTTGTGTTATGAGGTCACTCCAGAGTGCTGTGTGATACTCAAATGCAAGGTGAGTGAGATCTTTTTAAAAAGGCTGTTTCACTCTGAAAGAGTTTCTGAGTGTCTTAAACCTGCACCTCAGGTCGGCAACATCAAGAAAGAGACTTCAGCTCACTGGTCCAAAGCCGGACACGAGGTCAAGGCGGACGAACATCTCGGCTTCACAGAGGGAGTTCTGAAACTGGAGATAGCCCAGGTGAGAAGATACAGCATCATTTATTATTCGTGTTTGTATTTTTGTTTTATGTA